CTCTCGCATTAGCGCCGCGCGCACTCGTTTTGAAACTTCACAGTTTCAAGGTTTCGCATGAAAGCCGACGTTCCAGCAACGGTGTTCTGGCAATATTCAGGATTGCCGGGACGCAACAGTCACGTCGACTCGCGACGCTGAAATCCCAGGAATTGTGTTTCAGCACCGTTGGGAATCCAGTTGCCTGCGGCAAACCCCGCCACCGCGCCTGGGCAACAACGCAGCAGGAAGGAGGCTGAGTGTAGGAACGGCGCAATTCCGACGAGTGGTCTGCTTTGGTACGGGTCATTATCCTGACTTCGTTTTCGTCCGCGCGGTAAAAAAGAGGAGGCGGAGAAGGAGGAGGAGGAGAAGGAAGAGGACGCCGGCATGGCTGGGATGAGATGAATTTCTATTAAAAATGATCGATGGGGCAAACACTAATGTACATTCCACATCCTTGTGGGGGCCCAATCATTCCAGGAGGGGAGGACGGTAGATATAACTTTTCCTTTGAAAACAAAGATCTAGGCGGCGACGGGGCGGCGACGGCGACCACGGAGCCGCCAGACCAGCAGCAAGGCCCACGCGACGGCGGCGACGACGCGGCAACGGGGCGGCGACTGCAACCTCGGAGCCGCCAGACTGGCTACCCAGGCCCACGCGACGAGCGTTGACGAGGCGGTGATGGGGCGGCGACGGCGACCACGGAGCCGCCAGACCAGCAGCCTGGCCCAGTTACCTTAGAGCAAGAAGCAAGAGCCCCTGAATCCAAGCGCGAGCACTGCATGGGGGAAAAGGAATCAAAGTCGCCACGCCACCATCACCATCATCATCATCATCATCATCGTAATCATCATCAACATCCTCACCAGCAGCAGCAGCATCTTTATCTTCACCCTCACCATCATCGTCACCATCACCGTCGTCTACAATCATCGTCATCATCATCAGCATCATCATCGTAGTTGCCGTCGTCGTCATCCTCCTCCCCATCATCAACATCATAGTCATCATCACCATCGTCCTCTCTGTAGTCGCCGTGCATCGTCCATTCCTCGAGCCCGTACTGCCTGGCTGGAGTCGCTTTCCGGTCACCGGTGGCCGTCGCACCCACGCGGCGGGAAGCAAACGCAACAGGGTGTCGGACCCGCAGGCAACCGTTACAACTGCACCGCGCAGTCCCCCCGCCAGAGCTCAACAACGTGCAATTTTCATGATATCCGATATTCCTGCAATGCTCCATCGATAATCATCAGTTTCCACCTTGAGGTACCGGCGGCAGTGTGCAACGGCCAAGGTGTCCCTCAATCATAATTGTGTTCTCTTTCTCGGCCCCTTAATCCACGACGTGCATCAGACATTTGGGTGTCATGTTAGGAGGTGGAGAAGCCACCTCTGCTGGATTGGTGTCTCGCTAGCCGTCGGCCGTACGCGGAGTCTCTTCGTTTCGTCCTGTGCAGGATGGTGCCGCCGTCGTCAAGGACACGACCATCTTGTCGTCGGGCCGAGTGCGGCAATGTGCACGGCAGGCCCCTGGCGGCCGCGAGCGACGCGACGATCAACGCGGGTCCAGCAGCGTTGCGTGATAAGCCCCATGGCTTCTTGGCACGCAGTCTTGCGCGTCCTTCCGGCGACCAGCATTATTGTTCTGCAAATTGGATGTTCTGATGTCGGGGACGCCCTGCTCCTGATCCCTTAACGTGCTTTCCCACGCGGGGCGTTCCCTGGAGGCGTTCGTGGGCAGAGTCGTCGTGCAGCGTTTCCACGGCGGCCTCCTGTATGACGACGATCGCGGAGGCCTTATCCTCGAGGGTATTCGCGGAGGTGGTGTTACTAGTATTACGAGTATAATTAAAAATAGGATTGCTCTTACGAGTAATAATGTGTGTAGCTTCACGAATCCTATTTCTATTACTATTACTACAAGTTGTTTTAAATAAAGATGATGGTAGTACTCATAAGAATAAATTTATTCAAAAATGATAGTCATAATGAAAATAGTATCATGAATAAAATGAGTAGCCATATTACGTATACTGATCGTATTAGTCTTCAACATCACACTACTAGAAATAATAAGTTCGTTATTGTTGGTAGTATTGTCACCATTCCGATGCTAGTGTCGCTAATATTCTTAATGTACTTAATACTGCTATCATTCGTGATAGCTTCACTCTTACCATTAATGATATTACTCTGCTTCGTTAATCGTTTCGCTGATTCCGCCGGCCCGTGTTGTGTTATCGCAGGCGGTTGCCTGCGCGTTCGTGGCCTCTTGGGGCATCTGGGGGGCAGTTTGGGGGTCTGTTGGGTTTTTGTTCGGGGCCTTTTGGGGGCAACGTGGCGCCTCCAGGGGGCCTCCTGGGCTCTTGGGGCCTCCTGGGGGCCCCTTTCCTGGGCCCCTCTGGGGATCGTCTTGGGGCCCTTGGGCGATGTTGGGCGCCTTGGGGCCCTCCTGGACGGTCTTGGGGCCCTCTTGGGGATTTCTCGGACCGTCTTGGGGCGTTCTTGGAAGCCT